AGACCATGGCTGTAGGAAGACCATGGCTGTAGAAGACCATGGCTGTAGGAAGACCATGGCTGTAGGAAGAAATACTGCCCGACGCTGAGCTATTAGCATGATTTTTTGTTACATTTCAGCCCATTTTTGCAGCTACTGTGTCAATGCATCTCAACCCCCTGCCTGTCAGTCTGTCTGCCTGTCCTACTGTGGTAGTTTTCGTGTTGCTGTGATTCTGGAAGCATCTCAAATGCCAGCAGAGTCACCCATGGTGGACAGGTATCAACAGAGCTTCCAGACGAAGACAGACTAGGAAGAATGGTCTGTGATCTACTCCCAAAAATCAGCTTGTGAGAATCCTATATATCACAAGAGATTGTTGTGAAAAATTAAAAAAAAAAAATTCTGTAATTGTTCATTATAGAACTGGGAGCTATGTCATCAGCATTTCAAATATGGCAGGGTCACCCCCAGTGGCTAATTTTCAGGGGAAATGCCAAACTAAGAGAGACTAGGAAGAAAGACCTGGTGATCTCCTTCCAAAACTCAACAAGTGAAAAGTCTGGATCACAACAGAACACTGCCTGATAGAGTGCTGGAAGGTACATCATCAGTATTTCCAATCCCAACAGCATCACCCATAATGGAGCTTCCAGACTCAGAGAGACTAGGAAGAAAGAACTGGCAACCGACACCTGAAAATCCATCAGTGATGACCCTGTGGGTCATAACCCGAACACTGTGTGATAGAGGGCTGAAAGCTATGGCATCAGTACTTTAAATCCCAGCAGGGTCATCTAGGGTGCAGAAGCTTCAGGGGAACTTCCAGACTAAAGAGAGTAGGAAGAAAGGCCTGGCTGCCTGCTTCTGAAAATCAGCCCATGAAAAACTAATCTAAGAATGTCTGGGTGATTCCAAGAATGCAACCCATTCCATGGAACTGTGTGCACAGAACATGTTGAATGGGTGTGTATTCTCAACAGCAACACAAATTGAAGAATTTTTGTTTATGAAGAAGAATGCAAACCTTTTTAATGCAGGCAAACAAAAACAGGGGGACAAGTGGACAGACTTTGTAGCGAGAGAAAAATTCCTGTGTCTTCATGAGACGTGTGAGGTAGACAGGATGGCCCAGCTCCGCTCTCATCGAGAGAGCGTTTTGGAAGATGGTTGGTCGGAAACCTTGTGATCCATGCTGGAACGGAGGGGCATTGTAACGGTTCCCCAGGGACCAGACTCACCGAAGAATGGCCCCTGTTTCCACCTATGGTGGTTGGACTGTGAACTGGGGCCTTCCTACCCACACGTCTGCAGAGCTAATTCTAGGGGATCTTGTTTGCATGTCCTCCCTGTCCCTCATGGAGGTTGCTATGAGTCAAAATCAAGTCTGCTGTTCAAGACCTCATCCGATAACCGAACATTCTGCTATGGAAACCCATCAGGGGCTGTTCGGGAGGAAGACGAGGCTGTGTCCTTCTGTACAGATTTACAGTCTCCGACGCGAGGGTGCAGTTCTGCTGCATTCGGTAGGCCCACTGATGTGACTCAGGATTGGTTTCATGGCAGCACATTTGGTATTTTGCTTTTTGTACTTTTTAGATGTGCCATCGTTTTTGTGGCGTTGTGGTTAAG